CCCCCAGCAGCAGCAGCCGCGGCTGCCGCAGCAACAGGAGCCGCCCCCTCCTGATGATCGATGAACTGCAGGTCCAGTGGCCGAGACGCGTGTGGGGGCTGCTGCTGGTGAGACTCCTTCTCCTTGACTTTCCGCCCTTTCCCGTCTGTGTCGTTGTCTCGCTGACCCGAACCGTTGTCGCTGTTGCCATCCCGCTCGTGCGTCTGCATCTGCATCTCCTCGGCTGCCGGCTTGAAGGCTTCTGCCCCCCCTCTATCATCGCGATACAGCCAGTCCGGCTCGGACCGACCCGACGACTTGGCGCAGCATCCTTGGCCAGAGCTCGTCTGTGAGCGAATGGGCGGCGGCTCGGACTTGGGCGGCACCAGCACCACCCGCGAGACCACGCCGTCACTGTGCACCGACGGTTCCTCTTCGGTCTCTTCCGTGATGGCTGTGAGCTCCTTGGGGTGCGGGGGAGGGGGCGTGGCCGGCGGTCGCTGCGGGCCCGGTGCGAGCGGCGATGACGCAGATGCATCAGCCGGGACCAGCTCTTGGGGGGCGGAGAGGGATCTCTGCCGGGGCTCGATCGGTGTGGGGACGGTCTTGATGGCCCGCTGGGAGGCGAACGGCCACCTGGTGCCCCTCCGACTAGTGTCAGTGAGCTCGGGGCTCATCATCTCGTCGTCTGTCTGGGGGATGGTCGCGTCGCTGCTGGGGTACTCCTTGGTCATGTGCTCGAGCATCGCGTCCACAGCCTTGGCCTCCATGTGCCCGTCGGACTGCCGCCGCGCCTTGATGAGGTCGGCGGGCGAGTCGTAGGGCGGCAGCTGCTCGTAGGCGCCGAAGAACTCCCGCAGGTTCTCTTCAAAGTCGAGGATGGCCGTCTGGAGGACGGCGTCGAACTGCTCTGCGAGGTCTCTGAAGCTGGGCCGGTCCTCGGGCAGGGGGGCTAGGCAGGCCTCGAGGATGCGGCGGAGGGTCTCTGGGACCTCGTCGGGTATCTTGGCGGTCCGCATGCCGTAACCCACTGTCGCCGTGATCTGCACCTGCGTCAGACCTGATGCATGGATGGAGTGATGGAGTAATGGACGCAGGCAGGGAGGGGGGGGGGGGGG